GCCCGCCGCGCCCATGTTGGCTCACCCTTTTCGCGTTTCGTGGACCCAGACATGGTCCACCGAAGGCCCCAGTGGCTGTGTTCGCCTGCGCCCGCCGCAGCCACTTCGGCACATGCCTCACACGCTTCGTGGCCCCACAAGGGGGCTCTCACGCGCTTCGTGGTTCCATAGGGAGCTCCACCGAAGACCTCAGTGACTGAATTCGCATGCGCCTGCTGCACATATTCCGGCCCGCCCTTTCACACGTGTCGTGGCCCCATAAGCACCTCCACCGAAGGCCCCAGTGGCTGCGCGCACATGCGCCCGCCCTGCCTGTTTCGGCACACCCCTCGCACGTTTCGTGGCCCCATAGGGAGGAACCCCAGCGAAGGCCCCAGTGGTTGCGTTCGCGCCCGCCGCACCCATTTAGGTACACCTCTCGCACGTATCGTGGCCCCAAAAGGAGCTCCACCGAAGAGCCCAGTGGCTGCGCTCGCATGCGCCCGCCGCGTCCCTGCCGGCACACGCCTCACACGTTGCGTGGCCCCATAGGGACCCCCCGCGGAGGCTCCAGCGGCTGCGATCGCATGCGCCCGCCGCACCCACTTCAGCACACCATTCTCAAGTTCTATATTTCCATGTGGATTTCCATCGAATGCCCCACTGGCAGCGTTTGCCTGCGCTTAACGCGCCCACTTCGGTACTTTCCCGATGACAATAGTCACAATTGCGCTGCTCACAGCTGCATATGGCTGGGTCATTCGCCAGGCTGATTATGCAGGTCTAGTCGGCACTTTGACACTGGGCTGCTGACACTGCTCCTCCTCCTTCTCCTCCTCTTCCTCCCCCTCTTCTTGATGTAGACCTGCATGTGTTCCCGAAACACAAGGGTCTGGTCGTCGCCTTGACGCGACGCTGTTGACACTGTCCTCCTCCTCCTTCTGCCTGGGCACGGCGTCAAAGGAATTTCGTAGTTGGTAGTGTGAGTTGGTTTGGCGCTGAATGCCTCGCGTAAAACGCATAACGTTACATGCGCCACGTAGAACGCACACGCAAACTACACAACGTAGAAGATACTGGAACAACAACTCATACTATTACTACTGCTACTACTACTACTACTACTACTACTACTACTGCTGCTACTACTACTACTACTACTACTACTACTCGTGCTACTACTGCTACTACTACTGCTACTACTACTACGAGTACTACTACTACGATTACGACTACGACTACGACTACGACTACGACTACTACTACTACGACAACTACTACCACTACTACTACGACGACTACTACTACTACTACTACTACTACTACTGCTGCTACTACTACTACTACTACTACTACTAGTACTACTACTACTACTACTACTACTACTACTACTACTACTACTACTAATACTACCACTGCTGCTACGACTACGACTACGACGACGACGGCGACGACTGCGACTACGCCTACGACTACGGCGGCTACTGCGGCGACTACTACTACTAATACTACTAAGAGTTCTTCAACTACTGCCACGACTACGGTTACGACTACTAGTGCTACTGCTGCTGCTGCTGCGACGACTACTACTCATAAAAACTACGACTACGACTACAACTACTACACATACTACTTGTACTAGTACTAGTACTAGTACTTGTACTAGTACTAGTACTAGTACTAGCACTAGTACGAGGACTAGTACTCGTACTAGTACTCGTGCTACTCTAACTCCTACTCCTACTCCTACTCCTACTACTGCTACTACTACGACTACTACTACTACTACTACTACTACTACTACTACTACTACGACTACTACTACAACGGCGCGACTGTTACTACTACTACTACTACTACTACTACTACTACTACTACTACTACTACTACTACTACTACGACTACTACTACTACTACTACCACTACTACCACTACTGCTACTGCTAAAACGACTACGGCTACGATTACGACGAAGACGACGACGGCGACTACAACTACTGTTACTGCTACCATTACTACTACTACTACTACTACTACTACTACTACTACCACTACTACTACTACTACTACTACTACTACTACTACTACTACTACTACTACTGCTACTGCTACTGCTACTGCTACTGATACTGCTACTACTGCTGCTATTGCTGCTATTGCTGCTCCGACTACGGCGGCGATTGTTACTACTACTACTAAAGCAGGTACTGCTACAGCTGCTACTACTACTACTACTACTACTACTACTACTGCTACTTCTAATACGACTACTGCGATGGCTACGACTACTACGACGACTGCGACTAGTACGGCGACGACTACGTCTAACACTACTACTACTACTACTACTACTACTACTACTACTACTACTACTACTATTACTACTACTACTACTACTACTACTACTACTACTACTACTACTACTACTACTACTACTACTACTACTACTACTACTACTACTACTACTACTACTACTACTACTACTACTACTACTACTACTACTACTACTACTACTTGCTACTGCTACTGCTACTGCTACTGCTACTGCTACTACTACTACTACTACTACTACTACTACTACTACTACTACTACTACTACTACTACTACTACTACTACTGCTAGTACGACTTGCTGGCGGGCTTCACGGCCGTGCTCGGGGAGATCACCATGGAGCTCCCTGCGTAGCAGTCGAGGGCCACCCGGTCCTGGAGGGCATTCACGAGAATCACGAAGGAGAAGAAGAGGAGCCAGTAGAGGAAACGAGTAACGAAGAAATGGACGAGGGTGGGGTAGCCGAAGAAGAGGTGCGCCACGTCGGCGCCGAAGTGGTACTCTATGAAGAAGCCGCCCCTCGCGACAACCATGAGCGCGAAGATGATACCAGAGAAGGGCACTCGATGCAGAAACCGGCCGTCCCAACAACCATAAGCACGAATATGATATTCTTTAAGGGCACTCAAAAATGAAGCCGGCCGTCCCGACAACCATGAGCGGAAGATGATGCTATAGAAGGGGTACTTTATGTCGAAGCCGAGAGCCCCGACAACCATGAACACGAAAATGTGGCTGGCCTGCACGGAGAACTTCGTGAATTACGACGCACAGGAGACGCGCCCGAGCCTGGGCCCGCAGCGGGGCCGGAGCCCCCGGCGGGGCCGAAGCCCCCGGGCGCGCCCCCTGGCCCCGAAGGGCGGTCAGAGGGAGGGGTCGCGCCAGCCACGCGCGGAGCTCCATCTGCACCACCTGGCCCAGCGGCCGTTCTCATCAGCCCTGCTGCCGCCCCTGGCGGCCTGCATCGCCATCACCGTCTCCGCGGCGCCTGCCGCGGTTGCCGCCCTTGTTCTTCCCCTTGCCGCCGCCCTTGGCCGCGCCCGCCTGCGCGCCAGCCTCCTGCAGCGCGTCCTGGAGGCGGTTCGCCGGGGGGCCGTCGATCGACCTCTGAGGCACCGCCTTGACGCTCCTGTAGAACACGCCCGGGCTCGAGATGACGAGCATCGCGTCGTAGAACGCCTGCGTGGCTGCCGGCGCCACACACGACGTCCACACCCACGGGCGCTCCTCCTCCATCAGCGGCTCCTGGTGCTTCGGAGCGAAGCGGCGCACGTTGCGGTCGATGTCCTGGGACACCATACTCGCGAGAGCCTTCGGCGCCCTCAGCGCCGACTGGAACTCCTGCGTGGCTGCGTCGGGGGGGGGGGGCGCCTCCGCCGGCGGCGTGCCCGGAGCTGCCGGCTCTGGGGGCTCTGCCGGCACGGCCGTCTCGCGGTCCGCCGCCTTGCACACGCGGAGCCGCAGCTGCGTGACGACCCGGGCGAAGGCCAGGCTGCGCAGGCTCACTCCCGTCGGGTGCCCGCCGCCGCCCTCGGGAACGGCCGCCTTCCACACCTTGCGGTCCTCCTGTAGCAGCTGCTTCACCTCGTGGCTGTATACCAGCACCGCCAGCGAGTGCGTGTCCTCCAGCTCCTGCAGCTGGCGGTCGTGCCGGATCGCCAGCAGGCACAGCGCGTTCACCGCGCTGAGCTGCTGCCGCTGCGCGCCTCCTCCGGCTGCCGCCGCCGGTGCCGCCGGCGCCTGGGGGCGAATCTGCTGCAGAATGCCCTGCATTGCCCTGTGCCGCGAGCAACTGGCGAACGTGGGGCACCCGAGCGGCCGTCTGAGCCTCAGTGAACAAAGAAATACAGCAGCGTGGAAGCAGATTGGCTCGCGTGGCTCGCTGAGTACAAGATGATGTGTGGACCCTGCGAGAATTAGACGATTTGAAGGGGGCCCCACACTGCGCACAATGCAACGGCCAAGACGCAACTTCTTCCGGAGAATGGGCAAGAACGCACCTCCGAAGATTGAGAGCGCGCCACAACTCAAAGGACATCTGGGAACACATCGGCTCATGAGAATGTAACCTCGTCTTCGGAGGGAGCTGCGCCTGGGTAAGCCCACAGAAACGGCACTTCATATCCCGGTCTCGTCGCCCATCGGCTCGGGGAGGCATCTGTGGACCGCGTCCCACGAGTACATCTGGCACCCAATCAGCACCGCGATCCAGATCCCGATGCCCAAGAAGTCCCTCTGCTCGTCCCCCTCCTCGTCCTGCTCGTGCGTGGGGTCCCTGGGGTTCTCGTTGAGGCCCTCCCTGTTGTCGCCCTCCTCCCTGGGGTTCTTGTCCTCCTTCTCGTGGTCCTCCCCCTCGTGTGTGGGGTCCCTGGGGTTCTCGTTGAGGCCCTCCCTGTTGTCGCCCTCCTCCCTGGGGTTCTTGTCCTCCTCGTGCGTGGGGTCCCTGGGGTTCTCGTTGAGGCCCTCCCTGGTGTCGCCCTCCTCCTTGGGGTTCTTCTTGTGGCCCCCCCCCTCGTCCTCCTTCCTCTTGAGCCACAGCGCGGTCAGCAGCGCGGCCTCCGCGCCCAGCGCCGCGACCGCGCCCTCGACCACGACCTGGGCGGAGGGCTCGGACTGCTGGGGCGTCACCGGTATCTCGACGAGCGGCACAATAAAAGCGGAGATGCTGCTGCAGGTTCCGCCGCTGGACGAGTGTCTGGCAGAGCTCGCGCGGAATCTTCTCGACCTGCCACGCCGAGGCATTGCGCTTGGGCGCTGGAGCCGGCATCGCAGGAGCTTGCAGCACTTCGCAAAGGTGGTCTGGGCGCGTCTGCCGGCTCGACGGCGGGCGCGCTGCTGGCGCCGCCGCCGGGGGCTGCTTGCCCCGCAGCCGCCGTCGAACGGGCGCTGCTGGCGGCAGCAGAGGCGCAGGGGTGTCTGTCGCAGCCTGCGCGTCCCGGGCGGCGTGGCGGACAGCATGGCAGTCGGACTCCTCCTTCGCCGCCGCCTGCTCCTCCCACTTAAACACGAGCTCGCGCCATCGATCCCGCCGCTGAGCCACGGCGAGCCAGCCCTCAGCGCGCTCCTCCTCAGTTGCGAAGGCCAGCAGCTCCTGCAGCAGCGAGTGGCACTGGTGTCGCCACGTGACGCCTTGCTTGCTGCACAAGGGGTGTCTGCCATCCGGCTCCAGGACGCCGAACGCCACCCGCTGCTCGATCCGCGAGGCCGGGTAGCGAGCCAGACGCCCCAAGTTGCCCAGCTTCCTCTTGCCCAAGAGGCGAGGGGTGGACGGCGCGCCAGCACGTTTCCGCAAGTCCGCCATCGTGAAGCGGCCCTTCATGTCTCGACTGCCCAAGAGGCGAGGGATGGACCCGTGCTCCTCCACGGGCGGAAGCCCCACTGATCAGCTCGAAACACTCCGCGTCGTTCCGCGTGCGCCATAAGTCGAATGCTGATGATTCTGGCCACGACGCGCGAGATGATGGACAAGAGGCAGATCCCCCTATAATTGTCGAGGCGCGCCCTGTCCCCCTTCTTGAAGAGGGCGAGAACGATGGCTCGGTGGGCTTCGGGCTCCCACGCCTCGGGCTGCCTCCGCACGCGCCGAACCAGCGCGAAGAGGGCCTGCTGGAACTCAGGGGACGCCAGGCGCAGCATGTTGATGGTGACCCCGTCTTCCCCCGCCGCCGACTCCCGCGTCCTCCGCCAAGCCGCCTGGATCTCGGCATCGCTCGGTGTAGTGGCCAAGGAAGCCTCCGTGGGGGTCGCTGGCGCCAGCAGGGGCATCCTGTTCAACACCTCGTCGGTCACCGCAGAGTCCTGCTCCCCAATGGCGGCGAAGTGCGCGCGCAGCTGCTCAGGGGCGTGGGAGATGCGGCCGTGGGCGCCCGCCTCGTCGAGCGTGACCCCGAGCGCACGGAGGCCCTGATAGAACCGATGTAAGTCGGACACGGCCAGGCTGTGCTCGAGCTCCCGCAACTGCTTCTCCACCCATTGGCGTCGCCAGCGGCGCCTCTGTGTCCGAAAGGTTTTCTTGAGCTGGCGGTGGGGAGCGCGGGCGGGGCCTTCGGCAGCGGTGCCCTGCGCCCGGCGGATGTCCTCCCAGGCCTGGCGGAGCTCCTCCTTGGCCTTCAAGATCTCAGGCCCATGGCCGCCCATGAAAGGAATCCCGCCGCCTCGGCCGTCTCGTCCGCAGACCTCCTCCGCAGCCTGTCGCGCGACAGCCGCGAGGGCTGGCCGCGGCGATGGGGCCTCCATCTCGGAGGCGCCAGGCGATGCAGAGACCAACTCCCGAGTGCGCTCCTGATGCTGCTTGCGGCGCGCCGCAGCCTCCTCCGACCGCCCTCGCAGAAGATGGGTGGAGATCTTGCGCTTGTTAGCGGAAGCCGTCTGAGCGTCCCCAGCCGAGCGGCAGCGCCCCCGGGCGTTCCCTTGACGGCCACGAGGAAGATTGAGCTTGAAAACTTTCGCAAAGTGGTCACTCATGCTCAGCGTTGCCGTCTTGAACTCCTGGATGTGCTTCGCTACACAGGGAGACGCCACGCAGAGGTCGAGCTCGTGCCAGCTGTAGTGCCCCCGGCCCTGGTCGTCGACGCGAGCCCTCGGCAGCGTCCACGTGCCTCTGGAGCCAATCTGGTAGGGCGCGTCCGCCACGCAGAGCGGGCGCGGGGACTCCTCCATCCACTGCAGGAGCTGCTTGCCAGCTGTCGTGGTAGGCGTCGTCATGCCGAATCTCCCCACCACAGTCGGGGCGCGCGCAAAGTCGCCGACCGTGGCGTGCGCGATGTAGCGACCCGAGCAGCGATCCCGGCCAACATGGGAATTGAAGTCACCAAACCACGCCTGCTGTTCCGTCTCGGGAGACCCATCCAGCAACTCCGAGGCGCCATCGAAGAAGTGGAGCCGGCCCTGCCGATCACCAGTGGGGACATACGCCGAAGCAAAGCGATAACGAACTCCAGCGACAGCAAGAACGACGCTCACGAGGCGCATGTCGTCGCTCTCTGTGGTCACCGTGCCGGCCTCGCGCCGCGCGTGTACTGCAGCTGGAGAAAGCATAATCCCAACCCGCCCCCGGACGACGACTACGTACTCCTCCAGCGCCACACTGACTCTCCTCGTATCTGGTACTCCTCCTCCTGCTTCCTCCACGGTGTGCAAATCTGCAAGGGAAAGAACATCGAGCTTGTGATGACGTGCAAACGATAAAAGAGAATAAGCTTTGTCGGCGTTCGTGGTGTCCAGACGATGCCACGCCCATCCCTGAGCATTGACAGTGCCCGCCCTCAAGAAATGTGTCTTGGGCAGATTCCGACGATAACAAGCGTGATAAGAACGACGCACTCGCTGACGGCATCTACGTCGGCCAGGCCGAAGGTGAGACTGAGCTCCGCGGAGCAACGATTCAAAGTGCAGGCCGGGCCGCCTCTCGGGCGTCGCTCGGGCCTGCCCTCCAGGGTCCTCGCGAAGAAGGCGGCGATTGCTCGAGGAGCACAATCCCGCCAAACGCACCTCCCCAGGCTGGAGAGGCGCCATGGCATTGCTAGATGGCATTAGTCAGTCCCGCCGGCTCCAGGCCGGGATGTACACCATCGAATGGGGAACCGGAACTGCTTCCCTTCCACACCGTACCCATCCAAGTCGAAGAATCCAACCTGCCGACTCCTCGGCGGCGGTCGCCGTCTCTGTGAAGACCAGCCTGCAAACATCTAACACCGGGACCCGCGTGGCGTCCATGGCGGCCTTCACCTCCTCGGTGGAGTCGTCTGCCACGAAGACGCCTTCGAGCTTCTCCCAGCGGAAGGGCCCGTGCGAAAGATCCTCGGGGAAGAACGCAGCGCTGGGCATCATCCCTGCAGCCGACAAGTCGCGGACTTCCTGGTCGTTGTACTCGTGTGGCTCGCGCGCCCTGCCGTCCTCCACGCGCGCGCGCAGCGCGGGCAGCGCTTTGAACTTCACATGCCAAAAACCTGCCCCGTGCAACAGGGGGAAGAGCGTTGGCGACGGAGTTCGGGACGTGACGTAGGTGCCCGCGGTCAGGTAGACCAGTGTGGTCAGCATGGCGTGACAGGGCACGCCGCTGCCCAAACCGTGGAAGGGGCCGGTATGTAGCGCCATCAGGGAAGATCATGTCGGCCTCGGTCCACATGGACAGGAAAAGCGCGATTAATTCTGGCGTCTTGTCGCCGTGGAGCCTCTTGCCTGGGCGCCCACAGACAATGTCCGCGGCGAGGTCGAGAGACTCCCCCATGGAATAGCCAGACAAGTACAAGAAGGTGGCCGCAACTCTGTACTTCCAGCGGTGGCTGATGCATCTGTCGGAGCGCGAGGCATCAGGCGCGAGGGCATAACGGACCACCTTCACGGTGGAACCGTCTTCCAGGGTAAACACCGCCGCTGGCACCGTGCGCTTGTCGCACTCTACCCTCTCGTGGAGAGCGACCTCCGTCATGGTGTGCTGCATGAGCTTGGCCGCAGAGGCAATGGTGGACTGTTGGTCGTGGGACAGGGGCTGTAACGTGCAACCGCAGCCGTCCGGGAACTCAATCGCCAGGACGTCCGACACGACGACCAACGTGTCGCCGTAGGCAGACACTAGGCAGCGGCCCCAAGCGTTGAACGACTCCTTTATCGCCGCCGCCGTACGCGCGGAGCACGCCGGAGACAACGATAACATAAGCCCGCAGGGCGGGAGCTTGTTGTAGTTCCCACGGTAGACCTGTTCCCACGTAACACAGCGGCCACGCAAGAGCCTCTCCAGAAGAGCGAGCGGCAAGTTCACGGCTGCGTCGCTCTCGAAGACGGCCCTAACGCTGGACGCAACCTTGGACCTGGCGTAGACGTCCATCTTGCGCTGTACAAGCGTGTCGCTCCAGCCCTCGCGCAGGTTCCCCGGCTTCAAAGTCTCGACAGCGTCGAGGAGGGCGCCACCGCAGTCGGCATACAGGTCTTGAGCGTCCGAGAAGATGTCCTCTGTACACGTCGACTTATCCGTGTGGCTGGCCGCGCGGTACCTGGCCCCCGGGCCGGATTTCAAGTACGACTTGTTCTTCTACTCCTGTTGCTACTACTACTACTACTACTACTACTACTACTACTACTACTGCTGCTACTACTACTACTACTACTGCGACTGCGACTGCTACTGCTACTGCTACTACTACTACTACTACTACTACTACTATTACTACTACTGCTGCTACTACTACTACTACTACTACTACTACTACTACTACCCGTAGTTGTGCTACTACTGCTGCTACTACAGCTACTGCTGCTACTCCTGCTACTGCTGCTGCTACTGTCAGTGCTACTCCATCTGCCACGACGACTACTGCGACAAGTACAATCATTACTATTCCTATTTCTACTGCTACTACTATCACTACTAAAACTACTGTTCGGACTAGTACGGCTACTGCAGCTGCTCCGACGACAACGATTACGGATACTACTATCACAGCAACAAGTACTACTACCACTTCTACTACTCCTACTACTTCGACTACACATTTGACTACTACAGCTACCATGACTACTCCTGCTACTACCACGAATGCTACTACTACTACTACTACTACTACGACTACCGCTACCACTGCGACTGCTAATGCAACTACGGGTGTTACCAACTTACTGCTACGACGCCTACTACTACTACTACTACCACTACTACTACTACTACTACTGCTACTACGACTACTACTGCTA